TAAAATCCGTATTTCGGAATCCGATAATTGTCGACAAAAGGTCATTGAGAATGCAGTTGTCTCAGGTTAATATTACCAAACAATGCTTTACTTGTTTTTAACAATAATAACAGTTTTTGCCCCATTATTACAGGCATTTGTATTAGCCAAAGTTGAGAAGATATACACGACCCTTATTGTGAACACCAACAATTACACACACATACAATTGTACGTTGTATCTTTTTCACTACCATTTTTTCTTTTCCTTCGTTTAGCAAATTGGGATCCGCTTTGTGTCTTTAGATTCGCTGGTAGGAATTTTTAGCTACTTTTCAGAGATGTTAACGTTAATGAGATTATGTACAGAGAACAGGTTTGATTAATTCGAAAAAAAAAACACATTTTATTCTTATTGTATGAAACTACAAAACCAGATATTTGGCGTCGAATTGCAATGAAGACCACTACAAAACTGATGCCAATCGTGCCCCATGGGCCACGTTTTGGGTAGTCTAGTACTTCAACAGAACATAATATCGATCATTACACTGAGGTCAAAATTGACCCTGCACTGTGGATCACTTGTTTTATTAAGTCTTCATAAATGTATATGAAAACATACCGAGCACTATAATGCCATAAGCTTATCTATTTGGTATGTAGCACTGTCTGGTAAACCTCTACATAAGTTTTGTGAATCATGCACCTTGGGTCAAAAAATGCCGGTGTCATTTAGTATCAGAATAATAATTAAGATAAAAATATTTTAAATAAAAACATGAGTAGCTATCTTCTTCTATTAAAATATTATTTTGGTTGCATGTAAAAATCAATCGAGAGTATATTGCCTCGCTATGGAGGTTATCAGGTTATAGGTAGATATGATTATACCGTTAATTTTCATAAAATACCTAAGGATGTGAGTTTAATAAAGGAGAGGATTGTGAAGATGGATGAAAGAACATTTCAAGGTAAAATACCATTTTTCTTTTCTTATCAAACCAAGCTACTTAAGATGTATTACTGCTTACATTAATTACTCTGATTCTTCATTGATTTAAATGTTTCATTAAATTATAAACATAATTATATGTTTTGTTCATAAATTTCATTTAAAATATCACACTTATAATGATAACATTTAAAACATAATTGCTTCAGAATCTTAATCAATACCGTTTTTATACTAAAAAGCAATAACGGTTATTTTATGTACTATTTCAGATCAATATTTTGCAAAAGCTGCTCGTTTTGAAGCATTTCACACAATAAGATTAACAATCATGGACATAAATTCATATATGTCTGAAGAGAATAGATGCACCCTGTAGATGGTTCGACTAGTGTGATAATGAGCAGACCAGTAAGATGAACACTAAAGAAGAAGATTTCATTACCAGATGAAAGGTATACACAAGACTCAACTTTCATTTCTTAAACATAAACAAAGTTCAGCCCCTGTAAAAAATATATGTGCAATTAAAATATAAATTGATATATTCTAGAAATGTCATAATTCTTGTTTCCACTTCTAAATAAAAGGTATATATTTTTCAGGAATTCCACTACACTGGTAACAGTCATGAACACAAATTGACAATTGGTATTTAAATCACCTTTAATTGTAATATCTCTTCATGGCAGTGGCATAACAGATGAAAAAGAAACTATCAAACAGTTCAAGAAAACTAAGGAAGAAAACAAACAGTGATATTAAACGTTTGATACAAACAAATTTTCAAATGTGGACAGTTGTATATTTTGTAATGTTATACAGGATTTCCAACAAAATTTACTACATATCCATTACAGTTTTCAATGTTATAAAACATCAGCAAAAACATTGAGAGCGTTTATTATGATGCAAGCAAAACAATCAGCTTGACTGACGAAATGTTTTTAAGCATATTTTAAAGGACAGTTTGTTCAGTCTTGAATTTAAATAAAAACTTAAAAAGAAATCATCGCATTACTTTGTTTTTAACATTGTGCTTTGTTACATATATGGTACAGCTGCAGGGAATATGTCAACATGTTAATTACATTTAATATTTTTCCTATTATTGCATTATATTGTTGAGAGAATATTTCTTGGAATGTTAAAAGAAGTGCTAAAACTTGATGCTGCCTTTCCTAATAACCTCCGACTGCAAGGTCCTGCACAGGTTTTCTGCAAATGTTCAGTCCCCTAAGTACATGGAATATTTGGGGTTGGTAAGTCCAGGCAACATCCTCTGGATGTGCCATGTTCCCCAATGATTTGTTATATACCAGCCAGTTGAGGGTTCCAACAATATGACCACATAATCAAGTCGGACCAACTGGACAATGCAATAATCTAATGATACTTCAGCTTCACGTCTTAAGATTTGACTGATATTTGCAATCAAATGATTGTATTTCGTTATATACTAAATATTTTATACTGTAATTAATTAAGTAGTTGATAATATATAAGGTTTACTTCCTTACTTACTAGCATGAAATGTATTTTATATTGCTGTAAACAACATCATGTGTTATGAAACTGAAAATCAATTGAAATGTATAAGACAGGTGTGTCATGTTTAAACAAAATATTATTTTGATTTGATAAGGCTGTCTGTAAAATTAACAAGTTTCTACATGTTCTAGAGAGTCATCAAGAATTTTTTACTTTTAAATATAAAGTGAATAAAACTTTTTTAAACTTTTTTATTTCAATAGCTAAATTTAGGGGAAGTATGGTACAGAATTCAGCATCCAACTGTTTACATCTATTATCAGTTAATTGCTTTATAAACTCTTGACCAACATGTGTTTAGGTTAGCAATAAAATACTGATAACACAGATAATGTTTATTTAAGTTGCAAAGAGTTAACCTGATATTTATACTGACAAAGAATATTAGAAATTACTTGGAATTATCATGAACTTTAATTGACTTATCAGGTTTTGTATACCCTTCACTGTGTATTGTGTAAATTAAACCCTTTGTTGATTTATTTATCACCAGAAGAGATTTTTGTAATATTAAATATATAGTTCTTAACAAGTATGTAGCAAACAGAACATTATCAAGATCTTTGACACTGTAGAAAAATCTTTCGGTCATGTATTCGTGATATGTTTACATAGAGCAGATACCGAAGCTTGCCCTGTTAGCCTCGTTCTGAAAAATCTATGAATATGTATGAGGTAATATTAAGAAGGGTCTATTATTGGACAGTAGAGAAATGTTTGAAGGAAAAATTTAGAATCTCTGTTGAACGCATAAAACGACAGACTTAAAAATGTTGCAGAGCCGTTTCATTAATATAACATAGTTTTAACCTTAAAATGTTTACTCATACCAGTTCTTTAATACTTTTTTAATACTTTTTAGCACGTCTACTTTGACTCAAATGAGGTTAACACCTATTTAGAACAATTTCGAGTCTGCTGTCCGGACTTGTTGTTGTCATAGAAGGAAACATGGTTAAAATATTTGTAAGACTCTGATCATCGGCCCTTGAATATTTAAGCTGACATATAAGCCTCCATGGTGTTCTCCGCCAATCGCAGTAAATTTTATAGCAAATAAATTAAGATGAATGTATGTGTGAGCAAAAGTTAGAATATGTATGTATAGTAATCCATCTAATATTTCATAGACATTTCCTTATTATTACCCAATCCTTTTATGATTCTAATTCTAATTCATCAAACACGTTGCAACCGCCTTGGTGGGATGAACGTTGTGAAATACTTAAAAGACAGAAATACTCATTCTTAAGACGGTTTCGAACATCAAACCTTGCATCTGATTTAAGAATTTATAAAGATAAAAGGAATGAATTTAAAAATTATTGTAAGAATAAATTTTATCAGTACCAGTCTCAAAATCGACAAAAGCTCATTAATAATAGAAACGATCCATGTTTTATGTGGAAACAACTTAAACAAGCAAAACAAAAACAATTTATAGATTCAAGTATCGGAGCCGATGATTGGTATACATATTTTCGTGGTTTATTGTTTGATAATGATATATCACCTTTAGAATATAATAATGATAATGATGACGTCATCGTTGATAATATACATGATATATCAAACTTAAACGAACCATTTATATTAACGGAGGTCGAGTTAGCTATTCGGAAGTTAGCAAACGGCAAAAGCTACGGCTTTGATGGAATACCATCTGAATTTTATAAGAATAGTTTAAACAGTATTGCACCTTATTTAGTATTAATTTTTAATCGAATATTTGAAACAGGTGAATTCCCTCAATCTTGGGGTCTTAGCATAATATGTCCTATACATAAGGCTGGATCAACCTGTGACCCGAGTAATTATCGAGGAATATCTCTTATTAATACACTATATAAAATATTTTCAAGCATCGTTAATAAGCGTTTGTATGAATTTGCTGAAAATAACAATAAGTTTGACGAATCTCAGGCAGGTTTTCGAGCTGGGTATTCGGCAATTGATAATGTTTTCTGTCTTCAAGCTATGGTGCAAAAATATCTTTCCAAAAAAGGGGGTAGATTTTATTGCTTGTACATTGATTTCCGTAAGGCCTTTGATAAGATTAACCATAAGATACTTTTTCAAGCTTTACAAAGAAAAGGAATAAACGGAAGATTTTTGTTTTTATTAAAGAAAATGTATAATTCGCTCTATTCATGTGTAAAGGTTCGAAATACTTTCTGTTGTGATTTAGATACACAAAATAGTTTCAGAAATAGGCCTATGATAACTGAATTTTTCAAATGTAACATAGGAACCCGACAGGGGGACAAATCCAGTTCCACAATTTTTGCTCTCTTTATTGATGAATTAGCACATATGCTTCGTGATAAATGTAACTCTGGGATTTTTATTACACAAGAAATTTACGATATTATTTGCCTCATGTTTGCTGATGATGTTGCAAGTTGTGCTGAAACGGCAGTAAGATTACAACAACAATTAAATGTTGTCGATGAATTTTGTAAAAATACTGGGATGGAAGTAAATTTAAATAAAACTGAAATTATGGTATTTAGAAATGGGGGACCGGTTAGACAATATGAAAATTGGCATTTTCGGGGTAGTACTCTTAAAGTAACTTCCGTTTACAAATATATGGGACTTTTATTTACACCAGGTTTATCATGGAGTGCAGCACAAGATAAATTATGTGCACAAGCACAACGTGCAATACTTTCTTTTTATAGTTATAAAAAACCATATGGTTATTTTCCAACAAACGAACTTTTCATTCTGTTTGATAGTATGGTTAAACCTATTTTATGCTATGGGTCACAGATATGGGGATACAAACTTGTTGATTCTATCGAGGCAGTTCAAAATAAATTTTGTAAAAAGCATTTAAGTGTAAAAAGGACAACAAATACATGTATAGTTTTAGGAGAATGTGGACGTTTGCCATTGTGTATAACTTATTTTGTTAATTGTATAAAATACTGGTGTAAATTGTTGACTATGCCAGATCATAGATATCCCAGACAATGTTATAAAATGTTGAAGTCCCTAGATGAGAGCGGTCGAAATTGTTGGGCATCAAAAGTAAAATCACTACTTTATACTTATGGTTTTGGATATGTGTGGCTTGCACAAGATATTGGAAATATAGACATATTTATTTTAACTTTTCGTCAACGGCTGAAAGATTGTTTTGAACAAAAATGGCATAATGATATAAATATTGCGTCCCGTTGTTACCATTATAATTTTTTTAAGAGTCAATTAAATCCTGAACGTTATCTTTACTGTGATATTCCAAGAAAATATATGGTTGCTCTTGCAAGGTTTCGATGTTCCTGTCACAAATTAACGATTGAAATGGGAAGACAAAATAATATACCACTTCATGAAAGAATATGTTTATTTTGTTTTAACCAAAATAATGTAACTGCTATTGATTGTGAATTTCATGCCTTTTTTCAATGTTCTAAGTATAATGACGTTCGAAATAATTATCCCTATAATTGGTATTCAAATGGTACTACAATTAACGATTTTTATTCGCTGATGAGTACACAAAATGAAGAAAATATTTATAAACTATCTCTGTTTGTATATCACTTGTTGAAAAGTACCAGCTCTTGACTTATTTTATTTTAATTTTATATGTTATGCAACTACATTCAATACATGTATACACTATAATATTTATACTGTTGTGTATTTTGGGCCGGAGGCCTTTATTTACTTAAATAAAATTGAGTTGAGTTTAGAGTTATGATCATAAATAGCAGTAAGTTACTCAAAGAAAAAGATTACATTTTTACTGTCATCGTGAGTCATAACTATATATGACAATGTGTCTTATTGTGTTTCCTTCGTTAAATAAAGTTTTCAAACATTTACATTTTAGTGAGCTAAATTCACAGAACATTAGTTATTTTTATTGAAACATACGTTTTAGGTGATTTGAATGTACTGTTCACTTTTGTTACAAAACTGTCAAAACAACTTGCGAATTATCCCAGTACTTGCAAAATGCAACGTTTGATATTACTTTTCTTAATTCATAATTAAATATACAATGTAGATAAATGTAATCAAATTACAAATATTTAAAATTAATTTGTTTAATGTTAGCTTTGTGTGCTGGACCGTTGTCCGTAGACCTTCTTTAACATGCAAACAAGATCTAAAACTAATCAAGCTTGAAAAAATTGCAATTGGTATGCGAGAAAATCTAAGTTTGGCAAAAATTTCTGAATTTGCACGACGTGTGTAAAACGCATTGTTACAAAATTGAAGCCCGATATGAAAATGTGTGTCAGTGTCTAAACAATATTTCTGTTTCTCAAGAAAAAATCTAAAATGTAATTTTCTATTATTCTTATAATACTTTCCTGTTTGATATTGTATTATTTTATGATCAATCAATTAAAGGTCTGACTATCAAAGTCTAGCTATTGCACTGAGATCTCTAGAGTATGTGAACAATGAGGAGGAATGGCTGCCTTGGGTAACTGCTCAAAAATGGATAGATTATATTGGATACAATATTGAAAGTACCGCAGAATTTGATAAATATAAGGTAAATTTTGACTATTATATTTGAGTCTATTGTAGTGATTTATTGTAATGTAATAGTGTGTATACAAGATATAATATGAATTAAGATTTATACCACGAAGAAATTTTATATTATTATTGTCGTTGTCGATAAGAAAAAAATGGTTGTTTAAAGTTGCCTTTTCATTGTTCTTGCTTATCTATAGTAGTTAAGATTAGTATTCCCGTAAAGAAACTCGTAAATGCCTTATATCGTAATAAAATCAACATATTACATGAATGAGGCGGATAAAATGAATGTCTTTGATATAAATACTTTGCTACAAAATATTCTATGGAAATCCTATTTTGTAAACTACATTTCGCTTTAAGAAATATTGTTTGGCAATATTTACCTGAGACTCATTATCTATCAGAAGTTTAATATTCGTTTCTTTCCGTAATTTATTACGATTTACTAATTGATTTTAATGATAGGAAACTTCTCGATACTTGATTTTGTTCTAACGTACCAATGGCCTAGTGCTAAGTACATGTATGATAGCATGGCAAAGCTGAAATTCGAATCCTTATAAAACTTTTTTTCAGATACCTTTTTTAATTACATGCATAAATCATTTCTTTAAATTCGTGTGTCAATTTTTTAAAACAATTGTAACGTTGACATATAGATGTACATGTATATGTAAATTTTCATTATTTTAATTTGTACAATCATACAATGGGTGATCGGCATGTACAAAAACTTAGTAGTCAAGTTTTGCAAAATTTAATATATACATATAAAGCAAATATAAATACAGTCAAACGTGTATTAAGCGACTGGGCAAGGGAAACACCAAAAACGGTCGCTTAATGAAACGGTCTCTTAAGACAGTCAGCATGATATAAAAGTCAAAATTTATAAATGACATCTTTTTTATTCGATGGGATTGTTTTTCAACTTCATTTTTATATAAATGTTGAATAATAAATACGCTTCGATAATCTAAACGGATGCAAATGTAAAAATAACGTTCTCATATTTATTGACAAAACAGTTTTGATCCATTACGTACATGTTTGACATTTTTTCCAGAATTTTTTAACTTCTCCGTTGTTTTTCTTTGTCTCCAACACGAAAACCCTATTAGTGAAGATGTTTTCTGTTGTGCATTTTTCATTTGAAATAAACAAACTACATCTATTTGTTACGATTAATTTAATGGCTGATCAAGTTCAAGGTCAATTCAATGCAGTCTAAATGTCAACAAGCGAAGCGTATACACCATCTCAGTATGGGCGGAGCGTTGCATTGTTTATCCGATATTATTGGATAATACACGTCACGCGTATACTTAACTTCATTTGCATACGCTAAAACGGTATGGGAAATAGAGTTTTTCACACGTTTATTGTTGTGTTTTGATTGCTGACACTTGTGACATAACGAGGTGGCGTTCTCTAAAAACACAATTACTTGACAGGTAAAAGTGGTCGTTTAATGAAAAGATTGATGTCAATAAGGTGACTTATTAGCGGTCGCTGGTCGCGTTGAGCAAAAGTCGCTTAATACATTAAAGATATAGAGAGAAAGTGGTCGTTTAAGACAAAAGTCGCTTAATACACGTGGTCGCATGGGCAACTTAGACTGTTCAATGTTTTATTAAGACCTTCAATTTGAAACTAAAAGTCTTAACTCCTTATCGCTAAGGCTAGTTAAACAAGTGTTGTGTTGGTAACTTTCAAGTTATACACAATGCATGTATACCGTTATGCCATACTTTAAAATCCGTATTTCGGAATCCGATGATTATCGACAAAAGGTCATTGAGAATGCAGTTGTCTCAGGTTAATATTACCAAACAATGCTTTACTTGTTTTTAACAATAATAACAGTTTTTGCTCCATTATTACAGGCATTTGTATTAGCCAAAGTTGAGAAGATATACACGACCCTTATTGTGAACACCAACAATTACACACACATACAATTGTACGTTGTATCTTTTTCACTACCATTTTTTCTTTTCCTTCGTTTAGCAAATTGGGATCCGCTTTGTGTCTTTAGATTCGCTGGTAGGAATTTTTAGCTACTTTTCAGAGATGTTAACGTTAATGAGATTATGTACAGAGAACAGGTTTGATTAATTCGAAAAAAAAACACATCTTATTCTTATTGTATGAAACTACAAAACCAGATATTTGGCGTCGAATTGCAATGAAGACCACTACAAAACTGATGCCAATCGTGCCCCATTGGCCACGTTTTGGGTAGTCTAGTACTTCAACAGAACATAATATCGATCATTACACTGAGGTCAAAATTGACCCTGCACTGTGGATCACTTGTTTTATTAAGTCTTCATAAATGTATATGAAAACATACCGAGCACTATAATGCCATAAGCTTATCTATTTGGTATGTAGCACTGTCTGGTAAACCTCTACATAAGTTTTGTGAATCATGCACCTTGGGTCAAAAAATGCCGGTGTCATTTAGTATCAGAATAATAATTAAGATAAAAATATTTTAAATAAAAACATGAGTAGCTATCTTCTTCTATTAAAATATTATTTTGGTTGCATGTAAAAATCAATCGAGAGTATATTGCCTCGCTATGGAGGTTATCAGGTTATAGGTATAAAATTGTGCCACATTCCAAACTTTAAAGTATATATATATATTTCAAAGCATTGCACTTTGCACGACTTATATTTAATTGTTTTTTGACATTAATATGCTTCATATTGGTGTGTACAGATGTTTATCGTAATATGGCACGGACATAATGTCTTTTAAGGAAACTTAAGAAAGATGCATTAAAATTAAATATTTTTGTAAAGATTCCTTCATTTTTGTATACTAAAAAACAAAAAGTGATCGCTTTCTTCTGTTCATTCATATTATGGACACAATAAAAAAAGTAAGAGAAAGAAGGGTGATAGACAAACCAAACATTTTAAAATTTTAAAACCGATTTTGCCTAGGAATGTTACGGTACATACTGGAAAAGGTTATTATACATTGATACGTTATGTACATGTAGGATCAGAGTATACTAATATACTGATTTTACTAAATAGTATGTAAATAACGTTGTAATTGCAGGTTATTGAAAGACATTATATATGATATTGGATGCTCTTATGGATTGCCGTTATGTGTTAATGCGACGATACAGGAAATAGCTGCCTGGAGCCTTGATCCTGAAAACTTGTAACTACATTAATTTTATCGGCTATTGCTCTATGAGATTTATGCATTATTGCAATATATTTATATTATTATTGAAATGGCTATATTTTATACAACTTATGCACATTAGCTTTCATTTACTTTTCATCTAACTATCGCAATGTATTAATATTAACAATAAGATGCAACGCTAACAGTCATGCTACATTTCGACATGTGGTTGTCAACTACTCAATATGATACCGCCGCTTGGTTTTATCAATACATATAAATATTCATTACATTTGCAATATAATATTTTTTTCATTGTGTGTATATGTAACAGAAATTAAATTTATTCACTTTCTGTAAATCTTACTCAATGATAAAACAAACATTTATCATGTATGCTAGTTTGTTTTATACAATCACAGGTCCGATGAAGCCATTGATGAAGTAGCGTATTGTCAAGCATTATCTGATGTGAATTCAAGTTACTGGGAATTCGTTTTTGAACAGTATAAGAGTAATAATGACAGTAAAATAAGGAAACGTCGTAGAGGTGCATTAGCTTGCAGCTATAACGAGGACAATCTTGAAAGGTATTGTCTCTCCTTCTCAACAAAAAAGAAACGATATAATATTCATGTAAAACAGGCGGTATGCAAACATAATCGAGACATGCCTAAAACAACGATTGCAAACACAAATATGCCTGCCATGCAATAAAGGAAAATAAATTAATTCTTGCAAACGAAAATATGGTTAACTTTGGATTTAAATATTTTGTTTCTATGACTTGAACATGAAATAGTTAAAATTTACACAAATAATTAGCAACGATTTAAACTCTTTAAATGTATATTAGTCAAAAGAGAAAACGTAAAGTAATTTATTAGTTTAAAGTTTGTTCATGGTGCCTCAAAAGGTGAACCGTACTAAATTTATATCGCTTAGACGGCTTACATGTCAAAATTATTTCCATTCACAATAATCTGAAATTAGTTATTTATTTCAGGCTTTTAGAGTTTGGTAAAAATACGTCAGTTCCGGAAGCTGTGAATATAGCGTATGCTCTGGGGAGACATCCTGCTGGTCGGTAAGATGAAATTTGAAATACTCGTCTTTTTTCACTGTTTCAATGAATATTTTCTATAGTGAACTTTGCACATGTCATCAAAACATATGATATGTCAGCAGGAGAATGGGCAAAGAGGACGTTCTTAATAAATCTATTTCTATCATTTAATTTTTATTTCAGTAAATAAAAAATATATTTACAACAACATTTACATTTGTGATTTTAATACTAAAGCGAAAATATGATATCAGCAAATAACTACTGGTTTCCACCGATACTTCTCTATATACGTTATAGTAAATCACATACATTTGAGGATGGATTCCACAAAAATATGGTTCAACACTTAAAAAAAACACTTTCCAAGTCAAATGAAGGTATATAATACAAAAATTATCAGCTGTCAATGAATTGTACCGCCATTGAAACTACTAGTTCAAAAAGTGTTTGTTGCAGGTGCGCAGAACATCTTTAATCCCTACGACCAGACCATACACTGATTAACGTCTAAACACACCTGACATCAAATGAAACCGACATAGATGCAATTAATACATATAAAATATGTCCAATCAAACTAAGGATAATTGACAATGAATAAATCGATCTTTTAGTATTACCACTAAATACACATTTCCATAACATTTTTCGAATGTTAAAAAGGTGGAGTCACTGCAAATTGATATCAATTTATTGTAACTTTTCATTTTCCTTTAGACATTAGTTTAAACATATTTTAGTTCTATAATATTCTATATTTATACATATACAAAACAAATTAAACATTTTTATATTCACGAAAAGGATTAGAACGAAATACTTCTCGTTTTTAGTGTCTTTCTTTAATATGTTGAGTTTTGTACTATATCAAAATATTAAAAAGTATGAAAATGGGGAATATAAATATTTTGCAGAAGATGAAGATGCGAAAATGTATAACAAGTTAGAAACCAAATAGCAATCAAAAATGACTGAAAAGTACTGATAAATGTGATGTTGTTACTAACAAAAACAATACATAAATAGCAAATTGGACTAATTAAGGGAATAAAGAATGAGTGTCTTACAAAAATTACATCATAGAAATCGTTTTGTTATGGATATGTTATTAAGAACATACTTGAAAATAGTGGCATTATCTGTATCAGGGATATCTGGGTTGCCAAAGAGAAGAATATTAGGAGTAATGTTGACATTGTTACGTCTTTGAAATAGCTTTTGTCTGTATTTGGTCAAATTTGAGCATTCAAAGAAATAGTGGAAATTAGTTTCTATTTGTCCGCACTTCCATAACGGTGTAGGGAACATAATTTATAATTTAAAGAAAAAGGTGATTGTTTAAGAAGCTTTTTTGTGCGTAATTTTGCAAGTAATATTTCAAGTTTCCTATTATCATGATAGAAGTATTTTGAGGGCACATTTCTTGTTACGTTGTAGATAACTTTTGAACATTGAAAGTGTTGGAAATTTCGTATGTTAAGATGTAGATGTTTCCACTCACTTATGACAGTTGGGAAAAGAATTAAAAATATAATAAAGTTCTGGCTGATATATCGCTTGTGTCATTTGAGTTCCTTAAGTTGTAGCGAGTGTTGTGGGATGATTTGGTATAGGCGAAGCCAGGTATTCAGTTGCTATGTCATATTTAAGTTTGAAAAAATGTCTATGGTTATGACGCCTCTACTCTAATGCTTCCCAACTGCTTTTATTTTTGAGATTTTCTGTAGAAACAAGCTTTGTTGCACCCGATACTATTCTAGCACATTCGTTTTAAATACTAAAAGATCAAGTTCATAATGAGATGCATTTCCCAATACAACGTCAGCATATTCGAGAATTGGTCTTATAAACGACGTATAAAGTATTTCTAAAGATTTACAATCTAATACAACTTTTAATTTTCACATTATGATAACCGTTTCCAGGCTTTATCACCAATATATTTATTATGTGAGTGACATTTTTAATTTTTAGGTAAAAATAAATCCATTGTTAGATAAGAATAAATCCAAGTGTTTATGGTCAATTACTTCTGGTATATTTTGGTGGTTAAGCAGTTTGGAGTGGTTGGTGATAACTGTTTCTTTTTCTGTAGATGATAAGTAATTCTGACTTTAGATGGATTAAAAGTGACAAGCCATTTGTCTGCACACGCAGTATGTTTTTGAATATCTAATTGTATTTTTAAGCTGCAATTTGTGGATTTTCAATGAATAGATAGAGACTGGTATTATCAACAAAGAGGTTAATCTTTAACAATGTCATATATATATATATATTAAATTAGAAAAAGCAAAGGTCTTGAAGGACCTCAAGAACACCCCAAAAAGATTTTGAATCTGTTAAAACAACCGGCTGATGTCTAGATTTTATATGGTCTCGAAACCAGTCCAACAAATTGCCAAATATACCATACTATTTTAGTTTACAAAGAATGCCTTTACGCAAGACCTTATCAAATGTCTTGCTTATGTCAAAGAATATAACTCTAGCTTCAAGGCCATTATAGAGTGCTTTACAAAAAGTGTCATAGATATATACAAGTAGATTTACAGTTGAATCCCAAACATCAGACATTTGGAAAAATATTCTGACAAGAAATCAGCACATAGTATATTCGAAGTTTTTGAAATCGAATTTATTTCAGATACTATTAAACCCCTATTGGTAGTCTTTAGTTATTTAACATGTACACAGTAATATGTCTATGTTTTTTAAGACTAATTTTTAGTTTATCATGGGGAAAATGATTTTATAGGGTTCTAAACTATTGCATACTATTGCAAAAAGAACATAGAGATTTAACAATAAACTACTGCATGGTTTGCAAGAATAAAAATGATATATACAAAAACTTTCTCAAATAAGACAGTTAACAAATTGTTTGGTACTTAATCATGTATTTATAAAACAACCATTGGAATACGATTGTATTTTAAACTCATGCAAAATAGGGCATTTATCGACATTGTGTTGTTGTTGAATTTATTTTGTTACTGTTTTATTCTATAGACACTGTATCATATTCTGTTACAGACCGTTTGCCTGGAATTATGTGTTATCAGTCTGGGACACCTGGCTTGAGTTAGTATAGTTAGATTATAAAATTTAATTTGGTGTTTCTGTTTCACGAAGCAAACTTAGATTGTTGTATTGAAAATTATTGTAAATATCGTGATGTTCAACAATAATTAACAAGACATCATTGGTCACACGTATACAAAAAAAACACCTTGTGCTAAATATATTTAACAACGGATTTTTGTTCCATGCGAGAATCTCTGACTTACTGAGACAGGTACATAGACCTGTTCTTACTCGTTGGTGAGCAAAGGAAGGGTCAAGGAGGATAAAATTTATCTGGAAATAATGATCCCTCGGAAGCATTAAAAACGGCAAAATTACATGAAAATTGAATTTAGATTTCTTGGCCATAATAACTACTTATTTGAATCCCAATGATGACATTAAAGCTTCGTGCAAGTAAGGTAAACAACTTGCAGAAAGTTCAATGTGAGATATGCTAATGATGTTGATACATTTGAATATGTTTAAAAGTTTTAAAGCGGGCTCTCTTATTTTATTTAATGAATTACATATCACTAGAAATTTTACGAAAAGATAAGCTATAGATTACTTTCTGCACATTTTAGGAAGTACTCACAATTTGATGTTGGGTATAATATATACCAGATCATAAAAGAATTTTCCACAGATGAAGAATTAACAAAGGTAATTTTTGAACTTTGACAACAAATTTTGTCGCACTATTTAGTTTTGAAAAGAAAATGCCCTACAACCGTTCCCTATATTTATATTTAGGGGATCACCCACAGTCAACCACGAAAGTTTACTGTTTAAAGTAAATTAAATTGTTTTGTTGTTAATACTTTATTAAAACATTCAATCGAAGATTATAATGTTATACATCAAATCTAAAAGGTACATGCCGCCTCGCGAGTGGTTTTTTTTTGTAAAGTTAATGTTTTATGGGCAAATTTGTTTTCGCAACACATTAAAATGGTTAATTTTCTGCTGTCAGCTTAGTAGGATAACTTATCCATATCACAGACTTTACAATTTGAAAAACAACACTATCGTATCGTAAGCTGATTTACAAAAGTACCCTTTTGGGGTTGTTTTTTTGTTGTTCTTTTTTCACCCTTATGGGTTATTTTCAGGAACAGTTTACTCAGAATCGAACATTTTGATACTTTATTCCAAACTATTCTTTGTTACTCTCATTTAACTGGGCAGTTGCTATGCTTCATTCAGTCAATATGTAGCATTTTTCTTCAGAAAGGGTGGGGGTAACTGTAATAAGCATAGGGTCTAAAGGACGGTCCATGAATTTGAAATCAAATTTAGTATTGTTTACGTTAAATTATATGCTTTTTTACTATGTTTAAAAAATCTGTTTAGATTTTCCTTTTCTATCTGTGTAAAAAATGAAGAAACTACAGGAAAAGTCTTTATTTATGTTAAATACATTTTAATGTAAATTGTTCGAATAGTATGTCAAATTATAAAGATTACTTGAACAAAATTAAATTAAATTTCACATGAACATGAATATCATCAAAATTAAATGCACGTGAAATCAAAATGCTTTTCCAATTAAAACATTTATTTATCTTATTTGATTAATTACAAAAGGTTGAAGTTTTCATTATTTTCTGTTACTTATATAAACGTACTTTAATTCCTTGGTAATAGTTTGAGAGCTTTCTAGAAGATGTGAAAGACGACATTGATGATAAACGAACCATTAACTATTTTCTACAACTGGCCCTTGAAGATATGAAAAGATGGAATGACTGGCTTGACACTAACCTATCATCAGTCCAGTCATGGCTGACTGGACTGGGATATTAGAACTTCTAAGGTAAAACATTTAATTTATACGTCTAGTAGAACTAAATAAGTAATTATAAAAATAACAATTATTATTCCAAATTAAAACAAAAACTTATTTTTATGAGCAATTTTTTTAATCAATTTAATATTAAACTGAGATCTTATACCTTATATTTGTCACTCATATTACTCTCGGACTGACCCCAAAGTAAACAAGAGGGCCATGATGGCCCTAGATCGCTCACCTGAATTATCAAACTCATCCAAACAATTACCTAGACAAGCATTCTGACCAAGTCTCATGACAGGTGAGTCAAAAATGTGACCACTACAGTGTTAACAAGGATTATCCATATTTGAGCAGTGCGACCTAGTTTTTTACCCAGGTGACACATATTCAAACTTGACCTAGAAATCATCAAAACAAACTTTCAGACCAATTTCCAGGATACTTGGATCAAAACAGTAGCAACTAGAGTGTTAACAAGATTTTTCTATTTTTAGCTCCGGTGACCTAGTTTCAACAATGCGATTTCGAACTCATCAAAGCAATTACCTAGACAAACATCCTGACCAAGTTTGATGATAATTGAGTCGAAAATGTGACCACTAGAATGTTAACAAGGTTTTTCCATATTTGGGGCGGTGTGACCTAGTTTTTCATCCAAGATGACCCATGTTCGATCTTGACTTAGAAATCATCAAAACAAACTTTTCAGACCAATTAACAGAATATTTGGATCACAACAGTAGCCACTAGAGAGTGTTAACAAGATTTTTTCTATTTTTTAGCTCCTGTGACCTAGTTTTTCATCGGAAATGTCCCATGTTCGATTTATTCCCAGCAATGACCTAGACAAGTTTCCTGACCAAGTTTGATGACAATTGAGTCAAAATTGTGACCACTACAGTGTTAACAAGGTTTTTCTATTTTTAGCTCCTGTGACCTAGTTTTTCATCCGAGATGACCCATGTTCGAACTCATCCGAGCTATCAACCTAGACAAGCATCTTGATCAAGTTTGATGATGATTGATGCAAAAATGTGACCGCTAAAGTGTTAACAAGGTTTTTCTATTTTTAGCTCTGGTGACCTACTTTTTCATCCGAGATGACCCATGTTCGAACTCATCCAAGCTATCAACTAGATAAGCATCCTGACCAAGTTTGATGATGATTGATGCAAAAATGTGACCACTAGAGTGTTCACAAGGTTTTTCTATTTATAGCTCCGGTGACCTAGTTTTTCATCCGAGATGACCCATATTCGAACTCATCCGAGCTATTATCTAAACAAGCATCCTGACAAAGTTTGATGATGATTGGGTCAAAAATGTGACCACTAGAGTGTTCACAAGGTTTTTCTATTTTTAGCTCCTGTGACCTAGTTTTTCATCAGAGATGACCCATGTTCGAACTCATCCAAGCAATTGACTAGACAAGCATTCTGACCAAGTTTGATGATGATTGGTTCAAAAATGTGACCACTAGAGTGTTCACAAGGTTTTTTCTATTTATAGCTCCTGTGACCTACTTTTTCATCCGAGATGACCCATGTTCGAACTCATCCAAGCTATCACCTAGACAAACATCCTGACCAAGTTTGATGATGATTGGGTCAAAAATGTGACCTCTAGAGTGTTCACAAGGTTTTTCTATTTTTAGCTCTTGTGACCTAGTTTTTCATCCGAGATGACCCATGTTCGAACTCATCCGAGCTTTCAACTAGATAAGCATCCTGACCAAGTTTGATGATGATTGAGGCAAAAATGGCGACCGCTAGAGTGTTCACAAGTAATTGTGGACGGCCGGACGGACGACGGACGACGGACGACGGACATTCACCGATCCTAAAAGCTCACCCTGAGCAAGCTCAGGTGAGCTAATAATTTTAGCACAACTGAACACGGGTTCATTCCGATATTCCCCGCGTGTATGTGTGCAATGCCATTAAAATTTTCCATATAAAATATACTACTACACAAATTTAAACAAATTTTTGTACGTTATTTCAAATTTCGAAATCTTCCTCTTAACACAACACATTTAAAGATTAAAAAAAACAGTTCTCAAAGCAGCCTTTTGTTGTTATTATTTATTAATTAATTTATTTTTAAATATCTTTGCAAATGAGTATATATGAATTCTTATTATTGTATTTTGTATCAATAAAGATGTTAACAACAATAAAACACAAATTGTAATTTCAGATAAGATGGAGTTTTTGAAGCAGGTTGGAGACAGTTGGCAGTTCTAACGATCCATTGTTTGCAAGATCTTTAAAAAAACACACAATATTATTTCTGTTTTAACATTGAATATTTATTCTCGAATTAGTTTTATTCTATGACGACGTTCTATTGTTATGGTACAAAAAATAGATACAGTATTTATGTGGCTGTCTGATTCTCAATAAACATCACAAAAATTATAGTTTTGTATTTTAAATGAGTTTAAAGAACCCTTGAACACTTTTTATCAATTAGAAAAAGAAAAAAAAACTTTGCAAGTTATATATTATTATATTGTGATGTGAAATCATAATGCTGTGACCTAAAGCGAAAGCAAAAGAGGAACACACACTTTTTTTAACAACGATATAAAAGCTAGTATCACTAGCAAAATTACTTTATTGTTATGACTACGGAAACGTTAAAGGGCCTCCATTTAGTGCGATCGTTAAGTGTAAGACGTCTTCTTTTTGTTTGATTTGATTAGATGTTTGAGCACAAATCAATTCATTTTATTCACAAAGACTAGGTCATATTTGTCATTCTAAGTCACTTATCTCAAAACGTTTGAGACTTTTTGTCCAGGCGAAATTTTGTCAAAAAGACAAATGTTTTACAAAAGACGAAAAGATACATTTTTGTCTGCACAAAAACGACAAGTATATCGAGAAAAGGTTTGGCGAAATAAAAGTTTTTGTTTTTTTTTGTTGTTTTTTTTATGGAATAAATTGATGTTAAACGTCTAATTAAATCGAATTAAAATCAGTCTACTTACATGTGATGATCTCACTTATTGGAGGGCTTTTTCTGTATATGACTTACCTATAACTCGCATCAGTTAGCTGTGCTTGGTTATGACGATGATGAAGGATCTCTATTTACATATTTATCAAATCCTTAAAATTACACACATACATCATATTTAGTTTCGATGTCTTTCTTATTGCAAGCCAGTATAGTCGAATGACATTAAAACCCGATCATGATTCATCAATGGCCACATTGTGTATCAATAATTTCATATTTTAGATATGTCTTATCACATTTTGATAGACAATCTAATGTACATAGCTTAGGGAGTGGTGGCGTAGTGGTTAAGGTGTCTGCCTTTCACCCCATGGATCATGGGATCTAGCCGTGCTGTTTCTTCGTATGACACTAGTACTGGTTGAATCCTGGAAGATGACTCGAAAATGATCAATTTATATTGCTAGAATTTGTTTCACTATCGAGCTTAAATGAAATGAATACGTTGAACCTATAGCTAGTCATGGCTCATTTGTTCAAATGACAATGCCATGAAGTTATCAAAGTATGCACCGAATCTATTTATCTAATACATACACCAATATCCGTAATATGTTAGAAGTAAATGGAAATTGTTAAGTAAAGGCAACTAAGTTTGTTTCAGCAGTAGTTTTTGTAGATTTTTGGTTAATAGTGTCAGTAATAAGATCGACATTGACAATTATCTTGTAATTAAGCAAACACACGTTGATAAAGATACGACAGCTTGCGATACCTATTACAGAATACGTTGATTGCATGTGAAAATGACACAAATTAAATCACATAGAATACAATGTATATTGTAATAATAAAGGAACATATGGAGCATACTAGTAACAATAACCTTTGTCCCTAGATTGTTCAGAAATATTATTCAATAACCGTTCGCCTACAGCCAGATGTATCTTTGTCATGAATCTGACGACTTTTCTCGAAATCCGTACCGATTCATGCCTTTATATATAAGCTTCAGGTATCCTTGAAAGATCTCTAAGTATCTTATGATAAGGAATCGCAAAAATGTTTTCTTAATGAGAGTTTCTCCGTCTACCTGCCTTTCGGTCTGCCTTCTTGCCTACTTAACGCGTGTGTAATGTGGCGAGTGTCGACTAGCATTTCACTCGCGTATTTGTTTATACCAGGAGCCATTCTATTTTACCTGTTCTGTCAGTCTTCAATCTTCAAACCAAACGTACTATCTATTTTTCTTGCATAAATTGTTTAATACGTATTACTGAGGTGAAATCTAGATTAACATTGGCAAAAGTATCTTCAAATAGCTCATAAGGCCCCTTTGAATAATTAACATACTCATGCAGAACATTATTAAAAAAAACGTGTAACATGTAGAGGACACTTGAAATGGGATCGTTAAATTCAGAGGTATAAACTTGTTACACCTCTGTATGATAACTATAACGTTTCGATATTCCACACGTTTGATATCTTATTAGAAATCTGTAAAAGTGGATAACCCTCGAGTGGAATGAAAAATGCAATATTAAGTTCGGTTTTATTGAGTCTGTTCATGAGAAACAATGTAATGTGGAACAAATCCCATCCCCCACCCTTCGTAGCACCGGCTTAAGCCTTGTTTAATCCTTAACACTAAAAGAATTGGTATGCGCAGCACGTAACAGCAGCAACATGCAACTTATGTACACGGTATCACAAGGATAAAAATCAAACTTAGAATATCGTATTTCTTCTTAAATCTTTAAATAAAATATCACTCATTCTGTGGCCTTCTCGTTTTCTTTCTTCTATTTCTATTTTATATTGTTGTTTTTGTTGTTGTTGTTGTTTTCGGATATTAATCTGTCCACATCTATAACTCATTCTGCTGTACCTTCTCGTTTTTTGTATTTTTTTTTGAGATATTAATCTGCAACTACATTAAAACATCGATTTTTCACGCAAGTACACATTAATAAAGCACAAGGTTTGGTAATTATCAGTAATTCTATGCTGCTTTATAATTCAGCTTACAATATTTATTGCATTATGATACAGCCGTATGTGTATCAAGCTTAACAAAGTAATGTGAGAAATGAAAAATAAACACTGACCTGTAATTTGTAAAGCATGATGACAAGTTAAGTTATGAGAATTATAACTATATCAGTACATGTGAAAAACATAACATTGTTATTTATATTGATTATTGTATACTTATAATGTAAAGATATGATACATAGAAATATGGCGATATTCTTTCTCTTCAGTTATTCAATTAATAAGGTCATACGTCAAACTAAGTTCTTTGAATATTACAACGGTTCACAATCCTTTATTGACATTTTGCATCGAAAGTATTTCTAGTTTTTGATTCGGATTACTGAAACAGCAGGTTTATAGCTTTATTTGGTAATACGTTGTTGTTGTTTTTTATATATATTGTTTTACTTCTTAAAAATATTCATCTATTTATTTCATTTATTTCTTTGTACTTTTTCATTTATTTCTTTAGTACACTCATTCCTTTTTGCAAACTCATATCAGTGTTTACTCAGTGAATATAAAACAAAAATTGTTAATATGTGTACATATGCGATATTGAAAGACAATGACATTTTCTCTAAAAATAATTTGGTCTAGAATGGCATATTTTCCATCAGAGTTTTAAATATCAATAAGGACAAAGCAATCTTATCATTTGGATATTCTTATAAAAAAATTTTGCTCGAAAAATATAAAAAAAGTAAGGTAAAGTAATTTAGTATAAACATTTATATGATGAAAAAAAAGTGTATTTTATTCTAGAACATTCTATTATCTGCTATATAGAGGATATTAGTTTAAACATAGTTTATTTCGAACAAATTCACAATATATATACAGACAATAATGTACACAATACAAACATAATATGCTGAAAAAGGATTGGGTCCGAAAGCTGAGCTTATAAAGGCCTTCTCCTTATAGATTTACAATGCATAAAATACGGTATGACAGTATATGTGACTTGCTTGAAATATATCTGATTTTACATTGTTTTTAAGAAGTTAAAGTCAAAATTCTTTCTAACATTTAGTTATAATGTAAAGCAAAAATATACAAAAAAGGAATGAGAATACAAGACTGCATCATTTTGTTATGTAAAATTAAAGAGAAATAACGTAAATTAAGATAGAAAGAAATGAAGTAAGAAACTTTCAGCAAAATAGAAAAGAAGAAGAAATAAATTAAATGTGGATCATTCGGATAGTTCGGCGATTTAAATGGGAAGTATTTATTGATTTGAGCTGATGTGAATATGCTTAAGAGAATCTCCTGCTTTCTCGGATGTATGTATGAACGGCTTCAAACAGTCTTCTGTTTGCATCATCACTAATGTTTGGGTCTCCATTTAATAACTTTTGGAGAGTTGCTGAACAAATAGTAGATAGAGTGTTAAGAAAAGAGGCCCTGCTGTCAGCATAGCGGTGACATTCAAAGAAAAAGTGGTAATTACTTTCCACTATGCCACACTGACAAAGTGGAGATGGAGAAATATTTTTCTTAAATAGATGCTGATTTAGTGAACTACATTCAGTACGAAGTTGAGCATGAAAGATCTGCCATTTTCTATCGCCTTCATAGAAATAAATAGGACAACTAGAGCTGCTTCGTCTCAAATGGGATTTGAAAGCAAACAGTGAACGTAAATTTTGCACTTCAGTTGGAAGGGCGTTCCATTTATTCAGAGCAGTTGGAAGAAAAGCATTTTGATAAAGAGTAGTTCGTGTTCGAATAGTCTGAATATTTGTAGCATTGCGTAGATCGTACCTTGAATTTTCGCCTACAGTAGGTGGAAGTAAAGAACACAAGTAATCTGGTGTTAAGCCATTTTTCATTTTATAAAGTAAGATAAGCATATGATTATTTCTTCGAGATTCTAAGGATTCCCAAGGAACTTCACTATGGAGTTTGTCTAATGATACAAGTTTTGTAGCACCGCACTAAAAGAGGATATTGAATGAGTGTAGTTTAATACAAAATTTATTGAACGAGTTGAATAAAATCATATTATGCGAGCCTCTGGCGAGCATAATATTGTTTTATTCAACAAGTTCAATAAATTTAGTATTGAATCTACACGAATATAATATTCTATTTATCACATAATATAAAATAAGAACAATAAACTGTAAAAATGAGTAATTTTTCAACGACGCGCCTATATGGGGTAACGCTAACATTAGCGCGCTTTAACGCTATGTTTCTATACAGCGCAAATGACGTCACGTCAAAGTGTTATTACACTAGTGTAATATCGTTTTTATTAAATGGCTTTATTACACTCCTGCGCCGCGGTTTATGTGATAAATGAATTTATTATATACTTATAAATGAAATATTGAAAAATATTGATGAAATAAAATGCGTATTTTCATTTTCCGTATTT